CGGGGCCAGCCTGTGTGCTGCCTGCCCTGCCCGGGGGCCTCGGCTCTACAGCCCAGCCCAGAGAATTGCCCTCATCGCAGCTGTGCAGCTGAAGTTAATCCAGACTTGATCAGCACAGTGATCTCAGCTGGCCGTAACTGATTTACGGAGCAGGGAGCCTGCAGCCATGGCAGAGTGGCCCAGGACTTTTAACTGCACAGGCAACAACACAAACAACGTCATGCTTTCCCTCAGACCAACCAAAGATTATCTTTCAGGTCCAAATTAGTAGCTGCAAAAGCTGAAGGTCCTGCAGCAATTTCCCGCAGTGTTTAAACCCACGTTGCTTTATTGTTAAACATCCTGCACCATCTACCAATGATCCCTGTAACGACTAAGGATCCCTTGTAGGGCAAAAGCTGGGTAAGAGCCTGCATGGTACTTCTTTTTGTACAGATTAACAAAGCAGCACAGTAGGGCTAGTCCCACGTTTTACACTCAGATTAATACCAGGGTTTAATCCCATTGCCAACACAATGGCAGCCTGCTCCTGGTTTACCTTTTCAGACAGCAAAGCTTTGGGATTTAGCCAGGATTGCAAGGTCAAAGGCGAGCAGGGGTGTGGATTGCAAGCAGATGATGTCACCTTTAGTGTCTTGGAAAGAAAACAATTCCTGCCATTCAGGAGGGTAGTGAGGCTGGGCTAAACAGAGCAGGAAAGGGATACTGGAGCGGTGGGTGTTATGGGTGTGGGTGCAGGCTCAGACTGTGACATTGAGATACCACCAAAAATCAACAAAACTACATGAAAATATGCTGCTTTCTACTGGCTCTATCACCTGAAATATAGAGTATTCCCTTCTGGGTTGTGCCTGCGTGATCGGCAATAGGCACGGGGAAAGGAGCTGCAAACTCCCACTTGTTGTCAGCCGGCTGGTACAATTCCACCGTGCGGGTGAGGGTCCCCAGCAGTGTCCCACCACCCACGGCGAAGATGCGACCAGACAGCACATCCGCGTGGAAGCGTGTCCGCCTCTCCAGCATGCTGGCGACCTGGATCCAGGAAGCATTGCGGGGATCAAATCGGAAAACCTAGGATCACAGCAGATGGGTGGTGGTTAGCAGATGGCAGGGGGCTGGCTTGCATCTCCTGTGGCTTCAAGAACCGATAAACATTTTCCCTGGGCTGAGGAAGGTTTTCTGTTCAGAACTGGAGAGGCTCAATTTCCAGTGCCAGTCAGCTGATAAAGCAGTACCTCCCCAGTGGAGCCGGAGGCTCGGTTATGGCCTTTCTGCAGGTCTGGGGGGGTCAGGGAACACGTTGCGCTCTCAGCTTGCACCAAGCAGGAGGTGAAACACGTTGGCTTAATGAGATACCTCTGTTTCAAATGCCAGCTAGCATGTATCAGCTGGAATTTCAGTGAGATTTGAACAAGCCCATTTTGCATCTCTGCTGCTGTTTTGAGAGTGTAGCAAAGAGAGCAGCTGTGCTTTGTTGGCTGTTCGTGCCCAGGAGATGGCTGGAGTGGATCCCTTGCCCTTGTCCCTGGTGCCATCGCCCCAGGGGCACAGTGCCTCTGCTGAGGTTGGGCTTCCACGCACAGCTTGTGCCTCCCCGAGCTTGTTCTGTCAGTCATGGTTAGAGAGCCCAGGTCACTGGGCAAGGGCAGCATCTGCAGAGCAGTGTGCGGTGGGCGCTGGGCTGGGGCTGTAGCTCACCTGGCAGTACAGTGGCTCCGCTGCTGCGGGGCTGCCCCCTGCCCTCCCGGCAGAGGAGAAGAGTCGCTGTTTGCTGAACTAGGTACAGTGCTGAAATAAGCCCCATGGGGAAGAAAAACACGCTGTTTTTTCTAGCAGGCTTGCTGAAACTGTCTAGGAAACCATAAAATCCTGCACGAATCTTTTTAGTCTGCAGGCAGATGGGGAAGGTCGTGGGAGCTAAAGCAGATTTGCCTTTCAAGGGCAAAATTAAGGAAGGAGCAGTTCTCAGGCAAAGTGGCAGGCTTTAACCGTGCCTCCTAAGCGTGAGGCCCATGGCAGCAGCTGTGGGGACAGGGGTGGCATTCATGGCGTTGCTTGATTGACTGATGTGGACCTGGCTGAACCTGCACTGTGGAAGTTGGGTACAGGTTAGGATGGCAATTTACAGTAGGAGCAAGGTGAGCCCAGGGCAGGACCCGATTGCTTTCCAGAGAGTGTGGAAGCTGCACTGCCAACAGCTTTCAGTACTGCACGGAGTGCTAAGAACTGCGTAGAGGTGGGAGCTCTGTGGTGGGCAAGAGGAAAGACTCACTCCTTCCCCCAGCCATTTTTCCAAGGCTGCTAAAGGTTTCTTGTGTCTTACCTCATTTGATGGCTGCTTTCCCGTGGGATCAAATTTGCACTGTCCCCCGATGACGAAAAGGAAGTCATTGATGACGGTGACGCAGTGGTTGTACACGGGCACACGGAGGTCCCCAATCTTGTGCCAGGTGCTGCAGCTCGGGTCGGCAGCCCACATCTCTCTGCAGAGGCAGTTGGCGGCGGTTCTGCCACCAACGACAAGCAGCACGGTGGAACCGGAGCGGAGGCTCGTGCTCCGCGTCTGCAGGATGGGCTGAGCGTACAGCTGGGAGTGGTAATTCAGAGCCTCCTGCAGGTACCGGTGGCAGCCTGAATCCAGCCTCATAAGAGGCGTTTCCTGGACATACCTCTGCAGATCCTGTAAAGGAATGAGTGGGAATCTTATGCGCCTTAAAATATCCACCGCGTCTTTCAGCCGCGTGCGGTCGTGCTGCAGCCAGCTCACAGCGGCTCTGAACAGCTCCAGCTCGCTGCATCCCTCGCTGTCGGTCCTGTCTAAAATTTCACAAAGGGTTCCTCGGTCCAGGTCTTTCAAGCACTGGGGATCAGCCAGGATCTGTTTGTAATGCTGCCCTATGTAGCACATGGCTTTCTGTCTCAGCTCTGCTGGGCCCAGTTTTTTAGCAATGTTAAGAACATCCATGCAGTTCTCACAGTTCAAGCAACCCTCCAGAAAGCGAAAGCACAGCTTGATCACCTCCCGAACCAGGAGGGTTTCTGCAGCTTGGAAGGTCTCCTCAATATTCTGTAATGAGAGGTCTAGTTTGTTGGAGTAAATGAAGTCGAGAACGTTCCTCAGCCCGGCAGCACTGACGGCTTTCAGCCGGACGTTTCCATCCGGGCTCCCTGCTCTTGCCAAGTTTCTAACAAACAGGCTCTTGCAGAAATTACTTGCTGACGCTAGAATGATCTTGTGGGCTGGAAAGCAAACCCCTTCTGCCTCCAGCGTCACGTCGCACAGCGCGTTCTGCGAGCGAAGGCTGCTGAGCCCTTCCAGGAGTTTCGCCAGGTAGGTGTCGGACACGAGCCGCGCGGTGCCGGCCCGCGAGCTGCGCGGCATTGCTCCGAGAGGCACGTAGCCCTGGAGCAGCCCCGGGACTCTGCCGCACTCACTCAGTGCATCTCCTGGGCAGTCTTCTATGGCTGGACCAGTGGTTTCATGCTTCGAGGGAGCTGAGGCTGTGCTGTCCATGCCACAGAGCCCTCCAAAAGCCTCCCTCCTCGACGGCCTCTGCCCAGTGCTTTGCCGGCGCGGAGAGCCGTCTGCCCTGCGGAGCGGTGCGGGACCGTCTGCACGCGGAGCTGTTGGTGCTGGTTATGACACAAAACCCGCAGTGTTTGTGGGTTTTGCCTGTGGGCTGTGACACTGGCAGCAGCGGATGGCCGCTGGCATAGCCACATTCCTCCTCCTCGCTATCTGGTAACTACTGATCTGCACAAAAAGCAGCTCATTCTTGGGCAGCTCCCCAGCTATGCTCCACTGGGCCGCCTGGTCAGGTGCTCTTTCATCCGGGCAAGCCTGCACACGCCGTCCTTCCCTTGAGCAACGGTCAAACAAAATCCTGTCTGTGACGTGCCAGCCTTGGCGCTCTCTGATTAAATTTGATGGACTCAGACAACAGCTACTTTCGGGAAGGGAGGGGGTGGGAAGGACTCAGCAGTTGTGTCCCGTTCAGTTTGAAGCATTCCACTAACACGCTGTACCCAGCCTGCTCCTGGGTGCATCAGGGAGTGGAGGCTGGGGCTCTCCCACGGACTAGTGAACCAGTCACTTGGCTTTTGGCATGAGCAGAGAGAGAAGAGAGTAGTTGGGAGCCTCTTCCTCCCCGTGGATAGAGCAGAAGCAAAGGATATCATGCAGCCAGGCTTGAGACTGTGTGAAAGCTTTGGCAGAAAGTTGGGAGCGTACCCTAACACTGGAGCAGGCCCTGCTAGCTCTGCCCCAGCCGTGATCTTGGCCATGAGGCTCGTGTGAGAGGCCATGGGTGAGACAGCAGAGGGGTGCTGACAGGTTGGCGTTGTGCTGTGTTTCCACCTGACAGGGGTGTTCTACAACTCCTCCGGCTCTGCACAGTGTTACAACATATACCAGCTGTACCAGTCCTGTGCTGACCCCACGGGCTGCGGCACCGGCTCAGACGCCGAGGCGTGGGACTACCAGGTAAGGTGTTGGAGACACCAACAGCTTCCAGTTGCTGCCCTGGTTATCGCCCACCCTGCAACAGCTCTTTCATCTCTCAGGTTTGCACTGAGATCAACTTAACCTTCAATAGCAACAACATGACCGATATGTTCCCCGAGATGCCCTTCACGGAGGCCATGCGAGAGCAGTACTGTTGGAGCAGATGGCACGTGAGGCCACGAGCACACTGGCTGCGGACAAACTTTTGGGGAGGAGGCGAGTTGTGCTGGCTGCTCGTTCTTTATTCCTTTGTGCTACCCTGTAGCCGTGTGCCTGTCCCCGCTCTGCCCAGCTGAGCTCGGTGGGGACAGGCGCAGCACACTAACAAGTCCTGGCAGAAAGTCACAGCCTTGTGCTGACTGGAGCCAAACAGCCCTTTCTGTACCTCCTTGAGACAGAAAGGGAGAACCTAACAACTGCAAAGAATTTGTTTTATTCTCCTGTGGTTTTTATTCTTGACCGTGTTTGCTGCAGTAGCCAAACATGTTTGGGTAAGTGGGCAGGAAGGAAGCCTCTCAAATGTCATCTCTCTGAATTTCAGACTTGAAAACTGCAAGCAACATCATTTTTTCAAATGGAGACTTGGACCCGTGGGCTGGAGGTGGGGTAAGCATGTGCACTCCTGCACACCGAGCACAGAGAGTAGCCTTTGCAGGTTGTACACCACCCCTTCTCCCCTTCAGAGCAGCACTGGTAATTCATCTTTAGCCCATTTGAGTTTCCGAAAGTGGCTGGTTTATGCTGAACCATTCAGGAGCCTCAGGACATTGAACGGAGTCCATCAGCCAGGAACACTGCAGCAAAGGTGGCTTCGCCAGTGCAGACACAGCAGGAGCCTCCTTGCACAACACCGGGGGTCCGAACCACAACCTGTCACGTTTCTGTCTCAAGACTTGGTCCCAGTGCTGAGAGCCGAGTGCTCTGCGCCATCTCCAGTCTCGGCGTACTTTGTGAGACCAAGCAGCTGCTGTACGCAGCAACTCAAACCAGGGCATGTGTTGGTTTGGGTTCAACAAAACTCCTGAGTGGTGCCAGAGCTCTAGCTTAAAATTTAAAACCAGAAATGACCCAGAACTGGATTGTGAGTTAGTTGAGCTCCGGATTGTAATGCAGGAGCTCCTTGGTTTGGCAATCCCAGCTGCAAGAGGAACAGGCTTAGGGTGCATGGCCCAAAGGGGCCTGTACTGGACTAGGCTGACAGTCTTCATCCTGGGGGAAGCCTTCGCCTCATTTGAGAAATACTTGAGAAAAGATGGTGGGGAGGTAGGGGAAGGGCTCTTTACATTAGTGATGGGTGATAGAACAAGAGGAAATGGGCATAAGCTTAGTCAGGGGAGATTCAGGTTGGATGTTAGGAAGTATTTCTTCTCTGAAAGGGTTGTCAGCCACTGGAATAGGCTGCCCAGGGAGGTGGCTGAGTCCCCATCCCTGGATGTGTTTAAGAATAGGGTGGATGAGCTACTTGAGGATATGGTTTAATGGGGATTAGGGACGGTTGGACTCGATGATCTCTAAGGTCTTTTCCAACCTAGAAATCTATGAATCTATTTGAGACGGTTTGGCTCATCAGCACTGTTAGCCATGCACATACTATCAGCTGTAGCACGGATCTCTTCCCATGCTCTTCCTCAGTCCTGCCCAGCTCATCTTCTAGTTTTCAGAACTGATGTCCAGTTCTGCCCAGTAACTTGGTGAAAGTTTGTCTCTGTTCCTCCTCCTTCCAGATAAACAGCAGCCTCAGTCCTTCACTGATTGCATTGACCATCAAAGGAGGCGCTCATCACCTGGATCTCCGGTAAGTACTGAACTCTCCTTTCGCTGACGAAATCCTCCTGCCCTGGGTGTTCCATCTCAGCTAGCCATGGTCCAAAGAACCAGGAGGTACTTTGCTTAGTGGACTGGATACCAGATTGTTGCAGCCTGACTGTGGAAGAGCAATCTTCTCCCCCAGTACGCAGCTCTTAAAAGCCTTCAGGGAAGCTGGGCTGTGCAAAACTCAGCACTAAGCTCACAGACTGTCATCAGGACATGTCCTTGCACAAGGATTGGCACAAGTGTGTGACAGCCTGTAGCAATCAGTCATGTGAAGTAGTCCAGCATCTCTTGGCATTAGCCATCGGCCTTCAGGCCCAGAGCAGAGAGCCACCAGTGCAAGGCAGAGCTCAGGGCTCTCAAGCCTGCCTCCCAGCCTTCTGGTGCGTGTGACACTGTAACTGGTTTTCTGGGACATAAATACAAAGTACAAAACAGAGAATCTCTGTCCTTCAGTGCCCTGTCTTGGCTTTCCCCATGCAAGGGGCCAAGAGCTGCTGCCTGCTGACCACTCTGCTCTCTCTAGGGGACACCATCCCGCTGACCCCCCGTCCGTCACAGAGGTGCGCAAGCTCGAAGCAAGCATCATCAGCGGCTGGGTGGAATCTGCAAGGATGGGAAAAGCCCAGGAGAAGCGCTCGGGAGCTTCGGCGGGCGGACAGCCATGAACACATCCATCCCCAGGCGGGCGTGCGAGGCTGCCGCCCGCTGTGCCACGCCTGGGCTGTCTGAGAAGGCATCATTGTCTCCTCTGCCATGATGGTGGCAATTCCCCCTTTCTGAAGTGCCCCACCTGTCACAATCAAGCATCAGAAGAAAAGCAAAAGGCCAAATCCCTGACTGAAGCCAAAAAACACAGTGTGGGTTTCATGCTCACCTGCTTGGAATGAGAAGGCATTATAAATAGTGGAAATAATAAAAGCTTGGCTGAAGGCCCAAGAATCATCACTGTCCTGAAAAATATGGTTGCAGGAGGTACCTGAAGGTTAAGGCTAAATTATTTTTAGACAAAAAATAAATACTAGATGACTAGTAGGAAAGCAGAGGTATGGTCATTACTCACACGGGTTCACAGGGGACTCCACTAGTGACCAGTTATACGTCTGCCTCATACAGTGCTGTGGGTTTGGGGCTTTTGTTTCTGGTTTTAACTTGCAAAAGAGATCTCCAGTTGTTGAGCTAAAGATTTACACAAAGTAATCCTGGTGCGTACTGCTGTCACTCAAGAGCTGCGTAGTAGTGACCAGTAAAGCACATCTCCACTTCAGACATCTTCAGATCTTTTTAAAATAAATTACAAGTTTATTAAAGCATGTGATATAATTTTGTGGCTTGGTAGTGTAACCAAAGAAGATAAAAAAGGGTACTTCTCACCTTCCCAGGTGGAGTAAACTCATCTTTGCACATCAACAGGTGAATTCTTACCTACTGGAATTACTATGCACCAATAAACACGAGCACAACTGCAAAAATATTAAATCCTGGTGATCCATTGGATGCCTCAATTGATCCATTTGCAATGACTTTATGAATTAGCAGAGAAGCCTCCCGGGTCATCCAAGGCTTACGTGACACCGGCGAAGTCACCGCCTTGCTTCAGCTTCCGTGCGCTGCTCAGACACGAGGCTTTGTGTTCAGTATTTGCGCTGCCATCACAGTGCGAATGGTTCCCAGAGCTACGACGTGTCACTGACGTCATTTCACAACGTTCCAGCACTGACAAAAGGCTTTTTCACACACCACCTGCCTACCTCTTCCCTGTTCTTAAGTACAAAAGGCCAAAGCTTCTGCTCCCCCCCAGCTGCTGAGGGGTGCGGGAAGAGCAGGAACAGATGAAGTCTGTTTATCAGATCCGTCAGGTATATACAAATGGGGAACAATGTATGGAAGACCTGATGAATCAAACTCCAGCCCCTAAAGAAAAATGCTTTAAGACTGTTAGTGGAGCTGCATCCTCAGTAAGACCCGTATCTTCTGCGTTTGTGCTGATACAAACCTCTACACCTCTGCCAAGAGCTGTCACCATCCCTGTTGCTCCTACTGAAGTCGGGCTTCAGGTTTGTTGCTGAAGCCATGGTTTGTACAACACTTCCACTTCCAGCCTTGTGGCGATGCCAAGTCTCGTATTCCTCCTCCACACTCACCGACCCCCACCCGACTTCCCTGAATTTAGGTTTGCTGGTCTCCAGCCATCATTTAGGACTAGCACCATATTAAAAAAAGCAGACAGCGGTGGCCGCGTCTGCAGAGAGGATTACACCTTGCTTACACTGCCTTCCTGGCAGCCTCCTTGGCTCCCAGCCAGCGGGCACCCTACTTAAACCAACCTGGCAGCGCATTAAAGCCGCCAAGTTCAGAAGGAGTCTTTTGGGAAATAACCTGCAGGTTACTGCCTGCGGCCAGTGGCTTGTGCCTTTGAGTGAACAGAGGCCCAGGTGTCTTTTGACCTTCCAGAAGGATGAGAGTTCTTCAATCCTTATGTAACAGACTGTGCTGATCTCTTATTTTCCTCCTGCAGGTAGCATTTGCTGCGAAGGAATCCACATAGTGGGAGGGACACAAATGGTTTGATTTATACGGAAGGATGAACTAAAGGCTTCCAGATGCCATAGCAAAGGGATAAACATGGGTTTCCTTGCAGATGATGATAGATGAGCAGTACTATAAATAATTACAAAAAACAGCTTCAGAAACTGTGACTGAAGTCTGAAGCCAGTGCCACAAACATCCATAACGTTTTGCAGCCTTTTTTTTTTCCTAAGCAGAAAACCCTGGTTGTGTGGTGCTCTCTGAGCTGAAGGGAAGAGCCCAACAGCAGAAGCCACCACCCATCGCAGGAACTGCTGCTTGTGGCTGAACTTCAGGGAGCACAGACGGAAAACAGAGTGCAAGCAGAACGTAAGCGATCCAGAGCCCCATCCATGGGGGAACCCCCATGCTGGTTTAATACCTGAACCAGTGGGGTTGTTGAGAAAAGGCTTATCTGTTTTTATCATCATGGACCAGCACAAGGAGCATGACCAAGATGAGAACGTTGCACAAAACATGAAGAAGTGCCTGGTCAGATGCTTTTAAGTCAGAGCTTGAAAACTGATCCTTGCAAATCAGCAGGTTTTCCTGACAAGCACAAACCATCCATTTCTGAAGAACTTGGGGTTGGTTTTCAGTGGAAGCTGAGGCCCCTGGACTTTTACAGTAAGCTCCAGCAATACTTCAGGGACAAAAAGCCTTAAGCCATTCTTCCCGAATCCAAAGTCAGGAAATTCTTAACTCTTCTGTTGAAGCAATAAGCTTGCCAGACAGCATCATGCAGCTACCCTGACACATCAGTTTTACTGGTCTTGTTAAATACACTGAGCGGGGCACTGGAAATCCATCTTAAAGGACAGGAGAAACGCACAAAACTCTGTAAATTGTTAGTTGCAGACACCTATCCTGTCTGCATCCCTCATCGCTGCACTGTCACGCTGGTATAGAACAGCAAACCAAGCAGATTCTTTGCCTAGGATGTGGAGGAGTAAATACAGCTGTATCCGAGCTTGGCATGTAATGCTGAAAATCTTGTCAACGAAAAGCCATGTGAAACAGAGGGGCCCCTGGCAGCCAATACCACGGGCCTTGCAAAACTGCCAGTTTCCAAGACCTGTAGTGAGACTTCAGTTCTCAAAAAGTTCAGAGATTAGATGCTGTGGCCCCATCCATCTACTGAATTTTCTTGGAGCAAAGAGGGATGTATTTTTTTCTGAGCTGTGATGTGAAGCCTGGAGTGTGAGACCTTCAAGTCCCACAGCTGTGCAGCGCTCCGTGGCTGTGCCCACACCCATCTCTGTTTCTCAATGAAAGCATAAGTGAACTGTACAGCTAGGTGGGGCTGGGGTTTTTTTGTTTTATTTTAATTAGACAAGGCACTCAAGCTCTTGGAGAGAAACCAAGACAGCTCTTTGTGCAAAAGGACAGAATCACTCTGAAGAGATGGCCTTTCTGCAACACTGACTTCAGCATGAGGAGCATACCAGTACATCGGAATTCCGAAACGGATCACAGACCCTGCAAGTTAAGGCTTTGGTTCAAAGCAGCACAGAGAACTCGAAAGAAAACTTCTCAGAGATGTACAAAGCTTCTGTTGTGCTGGAGGAGCACGCAGTGGAACTGAGATGGGCTGTGAAGCTCAGAGACTGATCTGACACAACATATCATGTTAAGGAAGTAAAAATAAATAAACAATGAAAGTGACCTTTGGAAAAGATCAGGAAGAAGCAGATGAGCTTTTATCAGATTACTTAGATTGGTGCCATTTCACATGTGATACTGGAGTCTGAAACAAGCATTTGTTCTCAAAGGTAGAGTACAACTTCAGATTTAAAGGATGAGAACAGAAAGCCAGGCTTTGCAGAGAGATTCAGTTTTCCAGAAAGAATTTGGTAGAAAAGAAATCAGTTGGACCAATAAGCTCAGCTGAAAGACATGAAGTGTGTTTGGGAAAGCGATGATTTATTCTCCTCTCCTTGTTTCCTCAGTAGGGCTGCTGTATTTGCTGTAACCAAACTCTGGAAGTTTTTCAATGCATAGCAAAGTCATGAATTAAGGGTTCAACACTAGTTTCAATCAAAGGCACAAGGCCAAAGCAACACAAGTCAACAGGGCCTGGGCAGTCTCACTGAATTAATCTTTTTTTTTTCTTTCTTTTTTTAATCTCCAGTTTTAAGCCTTCAGCTTTTAGCCAGAGCTCAGTTCCTCAGTAACATGAACCTGCTCCACCAACAAAAACACTGAAGGTGTTTCCTCCCACATTTCAACAGCATTTTTCTTCTACACTGTTATGTCAAGGAAAACAAAAGTCTTAGGAGCAAATCAGTTGTGTAGACAAAGGCTACAGCTACTGGATTCCACTGCACACACAAGTGAGAAAGCAATTTCCAGGGCTACCGTGGCATGTGAACTGGAGGAACATTAACATTCCACACGAACTTGTCACGTCTTGCAAATGCCAGGGTCCCTTTGATGACAGAAAAAGGTACATTTAAATAATTTGTAAAATTTCTCCATTTTCATAAGCCATCATTAGTACATGGAATGATAAATATTCTTTAAACGACTTAAATAGTGGTCCCAGGGGTAACTTCTGACTCCAGCAAACAGAATTGATCAGCATAAACCAAATAAAGATGCATCTTACTTTACAAAGAGTATAAAATAGACATACACCCCCCTCAGCCACTGGACAATGAGCCATTACAGTCAGGGTGAATTAGTGCCGTTCAGCAGCCCTGGGTTAGAGGGGGCTGCACCTCTCTGCCGCTCCCACGCACCCGCACACTGCCTGCCGCTCCCACTAATGTGAGGGAAAGGACATTTTGGTGAGAACATCTTTAAAAAATGAATAATATGAACTTCACTGTACAGCTGTAAGCTTGTTTTGAGTCAACCAACACCTTACAACGCAGTATGTGGACAGGAAGGGACGGAAGGAGGCTGACGTAGAGTTACACCTAATGTGCTTACACGCTTTCCCAGTGCCCAAGCTCAGAAAGCAGCTTCCAGTCAGAATACCTGAGTCTAACTGCTGCAAAGAATATATAAAATGCGTGTGTGGTTTCGCTTGCGCTTCACATTATTTTTCTGCAGATAAGTTAAAAAACTGCAATACCTCTACAAAATTATATACCACTTGGAGCCAAACCAGCAGCAAATTCTCTTCCACCAGTCATTTCAGCCACGGCTTGAACAGATGGTTCAAAGTGCTCTATAAAACTAAGACACTGTTCAATCCATGCTTTGCTGCCACTTCCTTCTAACGTGACGCAGCACAGCTCGGTAGTTTGGAATGAGATCGGAGTGTCAGCAGCAACACTGACAGCTTTGCTTCTACCTGGGCCAGCGTTACAGTTCTTTGTTTGTTCCACTCAGCACCCAGAACACTACACGTTCCTGTGGAGGAATGCTGCTGTAACCCAGTGTTTCAGTGAATCCAGAATAAACTGGAAACCTGTAGGCTTATTCCTTCTCTCCAGGGACAATCCTGTGCTGTAAGACAACTTGCTGCATTCCCGATATTTAATGACCATTTAGTAAGACTGACATAAGTGAGTTCTGGTTGGCCGAAACCCCAGGAATGTCATGGTCCACGCTACAATTATTCTCTGAACCTCATCACCAATACCAGGAAAACCAGCTCAGTACAGCACAGCTTGTCCATCCCAGAACCAGGGATTAGATTTAAGACTGACACGACTTCTCCAAATCAGAGATGCTTTCCCAAAAGATTTGTTTGTTTGTTTTCAGTCAAAAAGGTGCAATATAGCATCTCTCCTCAAACCCTGAAAAGTAAAGTGACTTGAAGATAAAAATGCCACCATTGGAAGGTCTGCTGACACCCAGTCTATTCTGGCACCCAGATAGGGAGCGGATGAGCTTCTGTGTTAAATACGTATTTGTCAAGGTTGATTAAGTCTATGTCATCTGAAAACAGCAGAAACATGTATTTGAGTGTTTCCCCAAGGAAGAAGCTCTCCATCTTATCTCGTGGCTCTGGATTACTGGGATTCTGGACGTTGTTAATGGAAGTATAACCACCTGTAGGAACCTGTGCCAAAACAAAAAAAAAAAGCAGAGATTTTGTATATTTCAACAATCTAAAATAAATTATTTTTACTTCTTAATATCCGGATGTGCTTGGAGAAACAGGTCAGCATGTTTTTCATTTCCATATAAAACTTCAGTTATGAAAAAACACTCACTTCCTTACAAAAGAAACTATGAGGAGAAAATGAAGCAAAACGTCCATTTATGCGTAATTCAGAGAGGTATCACAAAGAACATCCCCTTGAAGTCCCTGGGCAAAGGTACAGGAAGTTACTACTGCAATTCCTGTACTGGAGTTGGTCAAAGTACCATGTCTATTCTCTTAAGAACAGACTTTATGGATGGATATTTAATGACCACTGGCACCTGGGCCACACTTCCACAGCACATCGGAGTGCTGGCTCCATGAGCACTGTGGTCAGAATTACTACAAAAACCCCTCTGTTAAAACACTAATGCTATTTTGTGGCAATTTTTTTTTTCACAACTACAACCAAAGGCTTCTTTCAATCCAGCCAGGTCCTTCTCAGCTTCTGAATTCTAAAAAAGATCGCGGTAGAGACTCTAACAGCTTCCAAGACGACACAGCAACACTTTGGCAGTCTGCACACAGCTTCTGCATTTTACTTTTTAACCAATCTCATAAAAGCTCCTTCCCTGCATGTACTGAGGAGTGTAGCTCACACTGTTAAGGCACTGCATGAACTGATTTTTTCTGTGTGTTCTTATGAACTTCCCCACAGGTATTTGATGGTTCTTGAAGACAGTTGGTTTCCAAAGCTCTTGTTAGAGAGCAAGTGAGCGAATACAGTCCTGACAGAACAAGATCATGATAAGCTGACCTTACCCGTGTGTATTTATTGAAGTTCTGCAAGATTTCCCAGCCCCAGTCTTGGTATTTCTTATCACCAGTGAATCTGTACATATAAAAAAGGCTTTCCACAGTTTCTGGTCGCAGCAAGTTGTGCCTGTCTGCAGGCTGCAAGAGGAAAAAAAAAAAAGGCAAGAAAATTCAGACAGGGAGTCTCCCAGAAAGCAAGGCAGCAAAAGAACAAGCTGCTCCACAGCAGAGCACGTTACCAACACCCAGCTGGGAGTTTCGACAGCAGAACAGAGATACAGAAGAATCACGAACTACAGTTCACGCCAGCTCGCTGTTCACCTTGATTTCCACATCTTTGTGGCCCTTTTGTGCATGAAGATTGAAGTGGACGATCTCTGGACTCAGGCCTGTCTCTACTTGAGCGTACATCTGGTAACAGGTTTCTATAAGGGCTTCAGCCAATTTCATATGGTCAGCAGTCAACCCATTGTGAGCTCCCAGAGCCAAAGTACCAGGCAAAAAGCAAACCAAGTGATCCTGCAAGACAAGACAACTCTCGCTGGGGAAAAGAATTACACAACAGACAGGTATTTGTGTGTGTGCTTCTCTGTGTCCCTATGTGTGTCTTTTTTTTTTTTCCCCCCCCTCTCCTTCTTCCTCTTCTTCAAAACAGATTTCAGGTACCAAGAACTCAAGGGTAGCTTTTTAACAATCTGATGTAACGTATCCCGAGGCAGGCAGCATTTTTAGAGACATCAAGACATCACTACTGTGGGAAATGTACAAGACTGTTTTTATGTCAGGTTTCTGAAAGAAAGGTCTGAGGTCAGGGCAAGGAGGAAGAGAATGTCTTTTGGTTCACCAGAAGTGTACATTTCATACCAACTCATGAAGGGGGGTGGGAATCACCTCAAGGTTTCTCAATAGAGACAACTAAAGGGACAACATAAGGGACAAAATGATCATCTGAATTTCATTTTAAACTTAAAATGGAACAGAGATGGGAGTCAGCCACATAAAGCAAAGCTTTGGAGAAGGGGGAGAGGTCAGCTGAAGGAGATGGTCATCCTTTGAAATAGTCACCTTAGTGTTAACTCAAGAGAGACAGTTCCTGCAGAGATCATTAGATTCACTGATACAACTGGAAAACATTGATCAGCTTTCAAGCATAATTCTGTCTCTTGCAACTTTGTTATCTGGGGTAATACAGAGCTATGACCCCTCACGTCTATAGAGCACCAAAGACACAAGAGTAGGGTTTTTCTAGAGAGTGTGGGATACAGCTGGCTCCCATTCCCACCACTAGCTCTCCTAGACTCACTCTCTTGTTTACAGCCAGCTGAATGCCACAGATCCCATGCACATGGAACAAAATGTCTTTGGCTCTTCATGTACGTATGGAAGAG